GGGCATTTTTGCCTTTTTAGGTATTTCAGATTAGTTTTGGTTTTTTTTTTTTTAATGCTATTTCTTGATCAAAGGCTAAACTTGAATATTGGCCTTTTCAACCGGCTATTCATGAGTAATTCCTCCAAGAAGTTGAGACTCACCCCTACAAACTAAACCATAACCCTATGACATACACATTCATCAAAATTCTAATGCTTCTTGCATAATTTCAATTTGAAGGGTAATTGTAATGGTGGTCGCGAGTATGAGTTTCAATTTGGTAGGAGCGTTCAAAGGACTGTCAATTGATTCTGGTTCGTCTTCATCTTTCTTGTGAGGAGATTTTGGTTCGATTAACGTCACGCAGAAAGTTTTCATGTCGTTTTCGATGAAATCGTCGCTGGCGATTGAGTTGGTGCACAAGAAAAGAGCTGCCAGCACTAAGAATGGTCGGGATTCGCAAGGACAAAGGCTTGGAGTTAAAATCTACGGTGACCAAGTTGCCAAGCCTAGCATCATTATCGTTCGTAGTGTGGTACCAAGGTTTGAACCTAAACTTTCTCAAATTTTTATCTGAAGAGTAATTTATTGGGCTTAATAGTGAGTATCAAAGCTATAAATTTGGAGTTTGTTATGCCCCAAATCAAGTATTTCTAAGGATGGAAGTTATCAAACACCAAAAATTACATAAATTAAAAGGGGAAATCAGAACACAAGGATTTTTCACCCCGAAGGGTCCGAATGTTCAGTATTGCTACCTAATCACCCATTGAGCATCTATAACGAGATGTAGCTCTAGATCCACTAAGAAAAAATCAAGAATCAGTACAAACATACGAAGAAACCAATAGTTTTTTCGAGTTCAATCTAGCATCTATTACAAACCGTAATTAGGGATGTAAATGGATCGGATATAGACCGGATCTGCTTATATCCAATCCGATCTGATAAGAAAACTTATCCGATTTGATCCGATCCGATAGTACAACAAATATTTGATTGTTAAATTCATATCCATTTTGCTATGTTATCAGATATCCGATCTAATAATTCGATCCGAAAAATAATGTTGAAATCAACTTTTTATTTATTTATTTTTCCAATTTTTCTAATTCTTAAACGAGTTTAATAATTATAAAATTGTCAACTTTTTTATGTTTTGAATTTGATCCTAAATTTATTTATTTTTTCGTTTATTTATTTTAGTCACAAATAACATGTTGTAAAAATATTTTACCGACTCAATTATTTATAACAAATTAGATAGGATTATTATTGGATCGAATTGATCTATATCCATATTTGATCCATTTAGTTAACGGATTATCGAATTCAGATCGGATTCGGATCAAAATCCAATCCATTAACAGCCCTAACCATAATCACACAACCTTCAATCTCTAAATGACTGTACATAACAATCAGAAACTCAAAAAGAACAGAGATTGAAGAAACCCACAAAGATTGATTACACATTTACAATGGTAAACCCTAACATTCACTCAGAGAAAAGCGAGAACGAATAGACCCAAGATAGAACAATCTGGAAGCCCACACAAAGAGCTAAGATCAAGTCATATATCTATCCATCTGAACAGTCACCATCTAAGGGTTAGAATGAAGCCATGTGTATGGCAGATTCACAACCATAAAGTGGCCAAACCCATCTCCACTTAATGAGACCCAATTTCACAGATGTCCCAACAAGGCCAAGTAATAGTGAGGCAGCCCAAATACATTAACAATCTCTACCTTGCCGAGCTATTCCAAGGCCTTCCTAATGGATCTAGTAATCTATATTTGGATTGCTTCATTTGCTCTAAAAACCTATAAAAAAATTGTTAGTTAAAATCTTTTCATCAACAATACTTGAAGTTCTAATTATCACAATATTAGGTGATATTCAGAATCTTCGAGCAATTTCTAAATTTATTTAAAGGTAATACCTTAATCCCCAAATTTGAAGGATTAAATTCTATAGGAATTTTAACCAAATTGATCAGACCTATTTTTGCCATGTTTCTTACAAAGTGAAACTTAATATCTATGTATTTAGTTCTATCATGATAAACATGATTTTTACTCAAATGAATGGCACTTTGATTATCAGTATAAATCCTAACAGAATCATTCACAAATCCAATTTCATTTAACAAACATCTTAACCATGTACTTTCTTTAACAGCATCACATGTAACAATATATTCAGTTTCAGTTGAGGACAAATCAACTAATTTTTGTAACTGTGACT